TCTTTTAAAAGTAAATGAATATTCTGCATTTTGGGAACAAACACGTCTTTTATATGCAATAAAAATACCATATTCAGAATCACCATCAAAAACTGAGCTGAATGGTATATATTTCATCAAAACCTGACGAGGGAATGTTTTTAAGTGCCTCCTCGCTTTTTCAACGAAACCTAGTGGGTTATAGGCTATCGATGATGCTGATTCCGAATATGAATATGAAAGTTGCCCTTAGGGCTTCGAAGACACGGTTTTCTGGAAAATCAGTTTTTCAGAAACTCTGAAAAAAACCCAGAACTTTTCTTAATGAGACATGATTGTAGCCAGCACATTTCTGATTAAAATGAGACCTCTCCCAACTCTACATCACCTTTCTTTGCAACTCAAGCTACAGAAATAAGAAATTAGTTTAGGGCTTTTCTTGTAAATTCTTTTCGTTGATTTTCATTTTTCCGTGAAAACTGCAGTCATTTTTCGGCGTGAAAATTTGAAAAACTGAAAATCAACGAAAAGTTTTGAAATATATACCATTCAGCTCAGTTTTTGATGGTGATTCTGAATATGGTATTTTTATTGCATAAAAGATGAGTTCTCGTGGAGAAAAATGAGAACTGTGGGCACAATTCTGATTTTTTCGCTTCTAGAAAAAATGAATTTTCTCAATGAGAAAACAAAATTAAAAACAATCGATATGTCATGTTAAAGCTGACAGTTTGACGGTTGGAATGACATAAGAGAAATGATGAAATGTATTCACACAGAAAACTAATATAGATAGGTTTGCAAAATGATCTGCTGTCGTTTTGGAGGGTCAGTTCAAGTGAAGCAGGCTAAATCAGCTTTTACATTTGAGATCAATCAAATATCTTCTCTATACTCAGTTTTCAATGCTGAATTCAAAAGAATTAGTTTCAAAACTTGAAAGTAAAGAGAAAATGCAACAATTTGAATTGTTCGAAACTGTAGCGATTTTCAGCAAAATTGGTCCTTTAAAGTTTTTCAAAAGTTTCACCCTGAAAAGCATTTTTTCAAAACTTAACACTAACTTTTTCTCACTCAGTTCAATGTCCCCTATCCAATCATGTATAAATATATGAAAAAGAAAAAGCCATGAAAACTTCGAATTTGGGCACCGTATATGGTTAATTTATGATGACTATTTTGTGTTGTTTCTCTTTGCTTACTTAGAGCATTGTTAATGGACACAACAATGCGAGATGCGCATCAAAGTTTGCTTGCAACACGTGTACGTACTTATGGTAAGTGTTAGAGGTAAATCATAGTACTATTGACTATTCTTGGATGTTTTTGGTTTTTAGATTTGAGAAAGTCCTCTCCCTTTGTTGCAAAACATTTTCCTCAGTTTTATTCATTAGAAAATTGGGGAGGTAAGTCAGTTTTGTTATAATATCTAGAACAATTATCACTAATTTTTGTTATATCAGGTGCCACATTCGATGTTTGTATGCGATTTTTACACGAATGTCCATGGAATCGTTTGGCTGAATTACGTGAATTGATTCCAAATATTCCATTTCAAATGTTACTTCGAGGAGCGAATGCTGTTGGTTATTCAAATTATTCTGACAATGTTATTGAAAAATTTTGTCAACTGTCTGTGGATTATGGTATTGATATATTTCGTGTATTTGATTCACTCAACTACCTACCAAATTTAAAAGTGGGAATGGAAGCTGTTGGAAAAGCAAATGGTGTTATTGAGGCAGCTATTTGTTATACTGGCGATGTATCCGATCCAAATCGAAAAAAATATGATTTAAATTATTATACGAAATTAGTTGATGAATTAGTTAAAATGGGTACACATGTTTTAGCAATTAAAGACATGGCCGGTCTATTAAAACCAAGAGCAACAACATTATTAGTTGACAGTATTCGACAAAAACATCCAGATTTACCTATTCATATTCATACACATGATACTGCTGGTACGGGAGTAGCGAATTATTTGGCAGCATTTGAAGCAGGAGCGGATGTTGTTGATGTTGCTGTTGATTCGATGAGTGGCATGACATCTCAGCCAACGATGGGTGGATTAGTAGCTGCATTACAAAATACAAAACATGATACGGGTGTTGATCTTTTAAAAGTAAATGAATATTCTGCATTTTGGGAACAAACACGTCTTTTATATGCACCATTTGAATGTACAGCAACGATGAAGAGCGGTAACGCTGATGTTTATGTTAATGAGATACCTGGTGGGCAATATACAAATTTACAATTTCAAGCTTTCAGTCTTGGTCTCGGAACACAATTTGAAGATGTTAAGCGTGCTTACACTGAAGCTAATAAGTTGTTAGGTGATATAGTTAAAGTTACGCCATCATCCAAAATTGTAGGAGATCTTGCACAATTTGTAAGTAAGAAGATTTTTGTTGTTCAGTACTCTAGTTTATAATGTCCTTTTGTTTAGATGGTACAAAATAAACTTTCATCTAAAGAACTTGTGGAACGTGTTGATGATTTATCATTTCCCTCATCTGTTATTGAATATATGCAAGGATTAATTGGTCAACCGCCTGGTATGTAAACTCTTCATTGTTCATTTGCATTTTTAGAGATTAACTATTTTTTACTCAGGCGGTTTTCCCGAACCATTACGAACAAAAATTTTGAAAGGTAAAGAAAAATATGATGAACGACCAGGCTCGTCTTTAGAACCACTAGATTTTAAAAAAATTGAAAATGAATTAAAGAAAAAGTTTGGCGAAGAAGAAATACAAGAGTGTGATGTCATGAGTTATGTTATGTTTCCAAAAGTATTAGAAGAATATATTGAATTTAGAAAATCTTATGGACCCGTTGATTGTTATGAGACAAGAATATTTTTTGTTGGACCTAAACTTGGTGAACCAATTGAAATTGAAATTGAACATGGAAAAACGTTACACATTGTTGTTTTGGCAATAAGTGACCTTTTACGTCAATCTGGTGAACGAGAAGTATTCTTTCAAGTAAATGGTCAATTACGTTCAATGAAAGTAAAAGATACTGCTGCGTCTAAAGATCATAAAGTGCATCCAAAAGTTGATAAGAATAAGAAAGAACAAATTGGGGTAATTTAGATTGTGTTGAACATGCACGCTAAAGAAATAAAATTTCTTTATTTAGGCTCCTATGCCGGGTCAAGTGCTTGACGTTAAAGTCAAAGAAGGCGATCAGATCGAGAAAGGACAAACACTGTTGGTATTAAGCGCAATGAAGATGGAAACCGTTGTTAAATCAACTCTAAGTGGAAAAATTAAAAAAGTACATGTAACAAGTGGACAACAAGTACAAGGAGATGATTTAATTATTGAATTAGAATTAACATAGTGAACAGAGAACGATTAAAACGCTATTAAATTATCAAAACATATTTTTTCTCTACAACTCAATTAGTTTTAAGAACTACTTTTTTCTTTCTAAAAAGTTTCAAACGATCTTATTTTAATAATTCAAAGGTTAATGTTTCTTTTTTCTTTTGCAAAAGAATATTTAACTTTCTTACAATTTCTACTCATTGTGTTTTGATTTCCATTTTTTGTTGCTCAACGTGATCATCCTAGTGACAGTAATATTATTTATATATTTTTATTTTCATGACATCTCTAGCAGTGATTAAATAATCGAATATACTTTAATATAACAAAAAAAGCTACAAATCTCTTTCGTTTAGAACGGTTGTTTTTTATTATCTTAACATTTTTATACGTTTTTTTACATAAACTTTATTTTTTCCTTTTTCTCCATGTTCATTTATGTAGTTAGAACATATTTTTTTATGTTAACTAACCAGTGTATTAATGTTGTTACCCTTGTAAGTTGTATAACTTTTTATTTTATCCTTCCTTGTCACATTTTTACCTTCGATGTTTATGTAATAAACTGTTTTTTGCTTTAAAGTCGAATAGACTGACGGTCAAAACTTCAAAGACCATTATGAATATTGGAAATAGAGACTTTATGATAGCCTGACTTTATAATGATCCTGTTACTGTATATTTTTTACAAGAATTTTATCCACTATGTTACCCTGCTTTTCAAAATAGTACATCACCTGAAAGGACGAATTCGTTTGAGACTTGAAACTGACCCATCGTATTTTTTAATTCCTTTACTTTTCCTTAAAAATTATCTTAGAAAATGTTGTACGACCAAATGAAAAGTTTTGAAATAATATCAAATAATAGCTCATTCGACTTCACCTTTTTATGTTGACAACAAATATGGCATTTATTTTGATGTGAAAAAGCTTTTCTATGGTGAGTTTAGCCAGATACTGGTTAACATGAAGTTACAATAGTTCTTAAAAAGTTCTCAAAAACTGAGTTAAATGATGTATTCTTTTCTCCTACTCGATAAGTTTCGTTTTCTTCAAATTTTCACGCCGAAAACTGACCGAGATTTTCACGAAAAAATGAAAATCAACGAAACGTTTTGAAATATATACCATTCAGCTCAGTTTTTGATGGTGATTCTGAATATGGTATTCTTATCGCATAAAAGATGAGTTCTCGTGGAGAAAAATGAGAACTGTGGGCACAATTCCGATTTTTTCGCTTCTAGAAAAAATGAATTTTCTCAATGAGAAAACAAAATTAAAAACAATCGATATGTCATGTTAAAGCTGACAGTTTGACGGTTGGAATGACATAAGAGAAATGATGAAATGTATTCACACAGAAAACTAATATAGATAGGTTTGCAAAATGATCTGCTGTCGTTTTGGAGGGTCAGTTCAAGTGAAGCAGGCTAAATCAGCTTTTACATTTGAGATCAATCAAATATCTTCTCTATACTCAGTTTTCAATGCTGAATTCAAAAGAATTAGTTTCAAAACTTGAAAGTAAAGAGAAAATGCAACAATATGAATTGTTCGAAACTGTAGCGATTTTCAGCAAAATTGGTCCTTTAAAGTTTTTCAAAAGTTTCACCCTGAAAAGCATTTTTTCAAAACTTAACACTAACTTTTCCTCACTCAGTTCAATGTCCTCTATCCAGCCATGTATTCATATATGAAAAAGAAAAAGTCATGGAAACTTCGAGTTATGGACACATTTCATAATATATTTGGACGTTGCGTAGTATGTTGCACTCATTGCTCGAAATAGTTTTAAGGAATAACAGCTGGGTAACAAAGTATAACACCATTTTGTGCTAATTTTTCTATTTCAGTCCATATAAGTATAGGAAAAACGAATTTTAGTTCCAATTTCACATGGTTTAGATAAATAGCAATCTCTAGAAATAATCTTATTAGGTGATTCTAATGAGCTTTAGACTTGTTGGAACAATAAAATGAGATAGGCCAAATTTCAAGTCTGATGTGAGTTCATCGTTTGGACAACAAAACATAAAGAATATATTCATCACGAGCGAAAGATTTCATGTAATGATTTCTGACAGTTTTGTGAAATTTTATGAGCATTTTATCGTGCTTCTTGTTTAGAGTTTCTTATAATTTTGCTGCAATTCGATATAGTTCTAAGATCATTGTATAATCTGTTGACTTCATTTGAACATGCGTTCTTACCTCGTACATGGCATTATATTTCCAACAGGATTTTGGGATTTACAACTCGTTTGCAGTTATTATACGCAAATGGAGAACGGTTTTATCTTGTGGGGAGTTCTTGTCTCTATAGGCCTGTGTCCTTCAAGAAACTTTTACTTTTCATTTTCGGGTTGAAACAGCCATTTAAAAACCAAATCTCCAGTTCGAAATTTTAAGAGATCTTTTCCCCAACTAAGATTAGCCTAAAAAGTTTTTTCTTAAATGCATCTGATCTATGCAATTCTCTTTCGTCTATCGAACGACGTACTTGAATTAGACTTTTGTTTAGTTTTAGATTGAGAAATTAAATTTTCCTTAAGTCTTAAGAAGACACATCTAAATTTGTATTTTAGAGTTCTAGAAAGGACTTTTTTTACAATCGTTCGTTTGTCAGACTCTAGTGCATTAGATTCTCTTTCGAATGGTATAAAAATAAATGGTTCATCTATTCGGGAAACGCCTAGAAAATTAGAGACAATCAAGTGTATGGTTAATTATAGACATGCAACGGCAACGGCTGCTGTAGCTTATCGGTAACTGCTCTTTACTGGTTAGTTAGTTCTTTAAAAAAATTTAACCACTTTTTTTTTCGTTGAAGAAAACATTTTTCAGAGTTTTTGTCTGAAACATAAAATATTGCAAATTTAATTTTCTAAATTTCATATACTGGATTCAACTTTGTACAAATCGAGCTTCATCGTGTAAAACGATATTTACTGCTTTTCGCGAATGAAGGATTTTTAAAAACTTGATCACAGTGGATGAAATTTAGAAAATTAAATTTGTTATATTTTACGTTTCAGACAAAAACTCTGAAAAACGTTTTCTTCACGGAAAAAACAGTAATTAAAGTTTTTTTTGAAGAACCAACTGTAACCGGTAAAGAGCGATTGCCGATAGACTAGTAACAGTTTTGGTCGGTAAGAACGGGAACGGTTACCAGTAAATTACTGTTACCGCTGCATGCCTAGTTACTTATTTGACTTTCCAAAATACGGCTAATTTTTAAAAAAATTCTTTTGAATACCCAAAACCCAATCTGAAAACGTGTACTTATGCCCAAATGTAGTATAGACTCTACTCTATCTATCAATAAAACAATAATTTCTTTAGCATCGTTTTTCCGTGAGATAATGCGTTCGCACAGTTTTTTCTTCTACTACACAGTCAATTTTTCGTGGTACTGTCACAATGAAGAAACATTTAGCCTATATAGATAGTATCATGAAGTATATGAAAGTATCACATTTAATATTAAATCCATATTACATCCTTGTATTCTTTGGCCAATTTCATATTTTGAGTATTATATAAGTTTATTTTAAATAAGGTTTTATTCATAAAAATATATAATGATCAAGAATATACATACGTACACATACACGTGTTATTTATATTATTTTATGTACATGAATAAAAAGAGCCATTCTACAATCATTCATCTAACCGATAAAATTTAGATAAATAAAAAACTTAGATTTTGATAAAATAAGATAGATAATTTGAAAGAACATAAAAAGTACGTTATCACTGTATATTTTTTTTTGTTTAATGAGATTTTTTCACCATACCTTAGTTTGATATCTTCGACCTCGAACTAAATCAGCTATTTGAGCATTGCTGACTACATTTCGATTATTTAATTCACCTTTAAATTGGTCATAATTAACTTTTTCATATTGTTCCCATATTTGATTTAAATAATAAACAAAAACTAACGTCATCATAAATGAAAATGTAAACAATACCAATGATATTAAATTCCATATTAATGCACGATGTGAATACGAACGTGCTTTATCCAAAAAATTTACATCAGCTTTGGCTGAGGATTTCAGTGAATAAGCTAATGCAATAAGACCTGAACAACAAAACAATGTGACAGACAAATAGAATAAATCAAGAGAATAGTTACATCATATTTACCTGTTGTTGGACATAATAATAGTGATGAAATCAATGAAAATACAAAATAATGACGAACACGAACAGATGCTGTATTCGGGTTTAGCAATGTAGCCGCCGCTGGATCTGTAAAGAAAAGTGTGCAGCAGTAAAACCTATCTAGTAGATAGCAAATTCTCTTAAAACAAAAATAAATATGAATTTTACCGTTACTACGGTAAACTTGATCGATCAATGTACTTTGAAGTAATGAAAAGATTTTAAAGAATCCTACATCATTTCCTTTCTTGTCATAGTACTCTATTCTAAAATGTGAAAAATCTATCGACTTTGAAATGGGATAAACTGCTGAAAGGTGGAGGTCTGCCATTCTATATCTGTATAGAAACTAAGATTTCGTTTTTACCAAAAAAACTGTTATTTTATATTACTATGTATGAAGGAACTATGAACAAAACGATCGTCAGAATAAATCTTATCCACCATCTAGGCTAAGAAGTGAAGTAATAATATTTCAGAATTAGTTATAAAATAATCTACACACCTAACTTACCGTCATTTTTTTCCAATTTTTCGTATACTATACCTGTCATTTTACCGTTTAAGTTCTTCTTTATAAATACGAGTTCTTTTAAAGAATTTGTATTAGCGAAAAGTAATCTAAAAAGAATGATAATGAGAAGAGTATTAACTAGCCTAGAACATATCATTTTTCTGTCGTTAGATCCACCAACGTCTGTGTACTTTAGATATAAATTCACAAATAATAGTCATATGAAAAAAAATCAAAAAAAATCGTGTGGAACACGGAAAAATCTCAGAGAAAATAAGGGAACAAGAAATGAACAAAATAAATTTACAAAACATTTTTCTATGTAATAAATTGCCTAACAATTTGTTATCAATTCTTTGTTTTTTTGTAGTTTCCTTCTTGACATATGGAGGACAGTGACAGGGCCAAAGAAAGTTAAGAGCTGTTCATTCATTTGTTGAACTTTTATAGTTTTCCTCATACATCTTACAAAATGAATGTTTCAAGGACTAAGCAGTAACTGATAATCATCTTAATACCAGATACATCTACTCAAGCTATCTGTGTAACTCCTCCACCTTCCGATTTGAAGAAGAGTTTCACTTCTATACTCAAATCTTTAGTCTAGTTTCGCTAATCTTTTTTCGCTAATAAAAATATATTTCTTGATAATTACGATGGTCGTAAACGACTGTGTTTGCATCATAAACGACTATCGTTTATCGTATTGTCTACATACGGATGTGTCGATCTGATAAAAAGTAGTGGCAGAGCCAGGGTTTCGGTCTAGGGGGAGCTGAGCTCCATATTCATTTGTCTGAAATCTGCCGACAGTACTACAAGATATTTTTCTGAAAGCTTTCAAATGGAGCTATAATTTCCTAGGAGAGCTCACCTCCCCCGGTGGCTCCGCCACTAATAAAAAGATGAGATATGTAGTTCTCTCAATACTTAATAAATACCTAATAATTCCATGTAATGATCACGAGATATTGAGCTTTTCAAATTGAAATATATTTCAGTTTTATCTCGTTATTTTGAACGTGAGTTTTATCCTAGTGAAACTTCTTGTAACCAAGATCTCGACTTCTTGAATTTTTTCAGTAAGATCTTGATAAGAAAATGTAAGAATTCAAGAAATGTCAAGAAATCAAGATCTTGAACATCTTGTAATTTCTTGGCGTCTTGTACCAAGATCATGGGAATTCTTGAATCCTTGTTTTGTTTTACACTCTTGTGTAAACATAAGTGCGAATATTTTCACACCTGGAATAACTCCGATTTTTTTTCCTTCTTGAACATAGTTGTTTACGGAAGAATCTATGACTCTATATGGTCGTATATCCGATGGCTATATAACTATCATAAATAAAAACAACATGCTCGAACTCCGAATGTACGAAAACTTACAGAATGTTCTTTTTATCAAAACTGAAGTTCAAAATAACGAGGTAAAACTGAAATATATTTCAATTTGAAAAACTCAATATCTCGTGATCCCTAGTAGAAAATATAGTTTTTGTCCCACTCTATAATAAAAACTTGAAACGCTTTATCGAAAAAAGGGAGAACATGTTGTAAAATTCATCGGGGTACTTATCAATTCTCACTGAGAGTGGCGCCGAAACCGATAATTTTGCTGGAAGGCATTTTTCTCGATTTCTGCATCTGCTGTGAAGTCAGAAAAGACATTCTCTTACGTAATTCAATGTGCTCTTTAAAACTAGACTGGTTTTAAATGAAGCGGAAAAAGGTTTGTAAAATGTGAGACATTTCAAATGGATTTACATAAATAGTTTTACTCATGTTTTTTTATATGATCCTCTGCTTTTCAAATCTTGTATATTATGATTTGTCAGAATTAAAGAACTGTAAGTCTTGTAATCAACTGATGATTTCTTATCTGGAAGTTGCCATAAAATCTTTAGTTAATACTTTGAAAAATAAGTCTTTAACAACATTAAAACCAGAAATATATTTGAAAACACATGAAAAGAAAAACGACGGTGTGACCATCCTCACAACCTTTCAGAATAATTACAGTGTACATGCCGTACCCTGCTTCGTTGCCATTACCCATGTCATAATCTTATCTCAAACGCGTTTAGTGTTGCTGGCAGATGAGTTCGAACGCGTTCAGAATGAAGCATCCGGACGCATCGAAACGCACCTGGAACGCATTTATAACCAGATCCGTTTCGACGCGTCCAGTTGTTTTTTTCTGGACACGTTCAAATGCAAATTGTGAGATGGGTAGTATAGTTTGAAACCAGTGTTGGACAGTGCCGATGTATATATCTTTAAAAAAATGCTTCAATGAAACCTATTCGGTCAGTAATTAGTTTTTGGCCCCCGGATCGTCAGATCATAAATTGAAATTGCCTAAAATTCTCTATTTCCCACCCAGTACAGGAAGTGACATCTTTATTAAGCTATTTCCTTTTAGCTACAAGAACATGTTAATAGAAATTAAGATCATCAAAATATTTGTTCCGGCACGCGTTTTCAAGTATGGAATCTTATTCAAGAGTAATAAACCTATCATAATATATAATATATTACTCCCATGTTCGGGATGAAAAACAGAAACTGATTGGTCAATTCAATCATCCATTAGTCATCACTCTGTGTATGTAAAGGACAAGCAGAGTGTAGCAACCCACTCATGGAGAACAACAAAATATTTCTTCTAGTTTGTCTTTAAAACAAAAGAAAGAAACAATTACGAAGTAAGGAGGAAACTTGAAACCATGTATATAAATAAATATTAAGGGCAGTTATATCAAAATAAGTTGCATGGAGACCGTGCGTATACGATGTGACGATGTGAAGCTTCAACGCACCGATGAAGGCTGTTATCACTTTTCTCTTGAGCGTACCAAATCTTTCTGTTGAACTGTTCAGGATGAAATACAACGTAGTTTTTTCTTTGTTTCAGATGCCGTCGCAGAAAGATGTTTGCGATCTTTGCGAAAAAGCTGGCGAAGTATTTTCAAAATTTGGACTGTTATTACGTGATTTAGACAGTAGTTCATTATTAGTAGCACAGGGTTCCGCTGAAGAGAATAAAATACCACAACAACAAGAGGAACTTCAAACGAAAGACTATTTCGGCGTTGGATGGGATGCACAAAGTGTTAAAATGCTTCGTGAAGCTGTTCAAAATTTTTCAACGGCACTTCGAGACATTTCCACTGTTGTCGCTGAAAAGCGAACACGAGAGCGGTAGAAAGTATTTTTTCTATGTATTTTGTCGTCGAATATTTTTATTTTCCCTCTGTATTATTACTTAGCTTCTTATTTTGGTTTTGTCCTTTTGGTTTGTCTAGTTTAGTGTATAGAAAATTACGGTGTAATTATTTACTACGCTAAAATTTGATCGTTTAGGACAGATGTAAATATTTTTTGCGCGATTTCTTTGTAAAATGTTCTCTTATGGCATGTAATCTTGTTTTGTCCATTGCTCAAATGTTAAAGAGAAGCTGGAACGTTTAAGTTCGCTTAGTTGATATAAGGTTTTTTGGTTCGTTTGTAACTTCATTCTTGAAGCCTTGTAGTAAACGGATACAAGATGGTTATAGGTAATCTTCGACAACGTGTTCTATATCTTACAAATGTTTTGAAAACGTCCACAGATAGCGTAAAATAGATCATTCTACGACTCGTCCCCGTTTATTGAGGTATGTTAAAGAACGTAAAACAGGTCGTATCTACGACTATTCGTCCACTACTACTGTTATGTTCAAAAATTCTTTTCTTTAATTGTTTATTACATGTTTTCATTTTTTAGACAATACTTGTTACCTCTAAGAGTTTACCTCTCATACCATACTATGAAATGCACTTTATGAGTGCGCATTAGGGGCGGCACATTACTGTTACTTTACGAGTAATCCAAATATTGTAAATATTCCTATTACCAGTAACAGTCATACTTTCCAGTTTTACTGTTGCTGGTAATAGGAATGTTCATAAAATTTGTACCAGCAACAGTAAAACTGGAAAGTATGACTGTTACTGGTAATAGGAATATTTAAAATATTTGGATTACTCGTAAAGTAACAGTAATGTGCCGCCCCTAGTGCGCATTCGTCAGTTCGTTGTCATACTCCGAATAAACTAGAAGGATCGATAATGGATTGTTTGTTCCATAAAAAAAAATTATTTCACACTGATGAGGAGTGGTACCTAACTATGTACACTCAGCGCTTCTGTCTAATCCTCCTGTTGTTGACAGAAGTATTACGTCATCGTACATATACAGATTAAATGTCGGAGAAAGAACTATAGATATGGAACGGAGCCCATAGTAAAATTGTCTGCGGAATATCAATAATGCTACTTTTATTCGATGATGTTAGGATATTAATCATATGAACGACGCACTTATTATCTGAATTCTCTTTGTATGACATATGGAATATGATATGCACGCACAATTTGTGAATCGATATCGGGTGATTTCTGAAATTAGATGAAAATTTAAAAATCTAGTTAACAGTAAGAGTAAAAGAGATCAGTGATTAGATGAAAGAACTACCAATATTGCTACAACTCGAACTAAAATAAGACAGCATATACTCGTAGATGGAAATATGAAGAATGGATAACGGATTAGTTTATTAAAGGTTGAGCGTGTATTTGTTCCATTAGCTTTTTTTAGTACGACACTTTATACATCATGTTGATGGATATATTCTAAACAGAACTGGAAGTCAACTGAGAAGAGATTCTTGTAATCCAGTGCAGGTCACTCTTTTCTTCCTTTGAGAGCATACTACGAGATGCTAAAGTTATTTTGGGTATTATTTAGTAAAGAAGAATCATTTTTAAAGATAATTTTCAGTGAAAACTGATGGATTCATTTGACGAAAGGATGCAATAGAGTATTATTAATTTATGGCTAAATTCTTTGAATAATTTCTGTCTTTTTGGCACGGCGCATTTTAGTTTGAATTAAACTGACTTCTTCTGTAAGAAAAAATATCCTTTGTATCTCAGTTCTAGACTAATTGTATTAAACAAATAAAATGCAGTCACCACCAAGACTTCTGTGGTCTGATTGCCGATTATTATTCACCAAGAAGAAGTTTCTTTTCAATTCCAACTCACGTTGTTTAGCATTCAATTTGTTTGCGCATAAAAATATTGGTGGGTAAACGTTTTCATTATGAATTGAACTTAAACAGCAGTAAACTAAACATTTTTTCTCTGTATTTTAGAACAACCGAAAGATTCACATTCAAAACTATTAACAGAAACTGAATATGTATTCGAGGTACAACATCATACCGTTAAACCGAGGCACATGGTAAGTGAAAAGAGACAGAAATAGGCGTACCCATTCATCATGTTAATAACCCACAGAACAGAATATAATTTTTGAAAATATTAACAGGATGGAACATCAGCGAAAAGTGATTGATGTTTCAGCTTCGTACAGAACTGTTAACACTTGTTTTTAATATTTAGGTTGATTATGAAAATATCTACAATGATTATATATCAGAAATAATTGAAAAATATAAAGTACAAGGCTTAACACATACCGGATCATGGCGTGTACATATTGGAAATATTCAAAATCAATTTGTACACATTTGGATGTTTAAAAATTTTTCACAATTTGATGAATTTGGGAGTGATTTTCGAACAGATGATGATAAAATATTAAAATATCGACAAAAAATGAACGAAATGTTAGTTCAACGTGCAAATCAAGTCTGTTTATCATTCAGTTATTGGGGTAAGTTACATTCTACAACAGAATTATCATGTTGTTTAACGTTTATTTCCTAGGTATACCACAACCACGACCACTCGAAAGTGGAAGTCGACAAAATAATATATATGAAATGCGAAGTTATTGGTTAAAACCTGGAACATTAAGTACGCTTTGATGTCAACTGATTTGTATAACTCTTATTTTTTTTTAATTTTCTAGTCGAATGGGGTAATAACTGGTAAGCATTTTTCCTAGTGAGTGTTTTCTACATCTTACCACTTTGTTATTTAGGGTTAAAGGTATTAAATATCGACCAGATGCAAAAGTCTTAGGAGTTTTTTCTCAAATTGGTGAATTATACAATGTTCATCATATGTGGTGCTACAAAGATTTTCATAATCGAAAATTAACACGTTCTGCTGCTTGGGGGTAAGTTTGAAGAAATCAAAAATCAAATATCTAATTTTGTAATAAAATATCTTTATTTTTCAGACGACCAGGTTGGGATGATAATGTTGCTTATACAGTGCCATTAATAAGAAAAATGGAATCAAAAATACTTGTACCGTTAAAAAATTCGCCCATGCAGTGAATATTATTTTTATTAATATTCATTTTTGTCTTATTTTGCTCAACAGTTAGATTGTTTGTGAAGTTATATACAATCTGACACTAATTTTCTCTCTTGAAAGGGAAAAACATTTTGTAGTTAGTTATCGAGAACGATTGAACTGTTCTTTATTGGATTAAGCAGATGAACTTCTGTTTCGATATTTAACTAATAATGGAAAAGAGTTTTTTAAAAGTATTTTGTTTTTTGATGACCGTTTTTATATAGTTAGAATAGAACTCAGAAATTATTTTTAAGGTTCAAAAACCGTAAAATTGCTACGAATCCTCATTTTATTGTTGGAATAGGATTTTTTCTAGTATGTACACCAAAAATTCACGCTTGATCTATATACTTTCGATTTTTGTAGGAGTGATTCTACATTTTTTGATACCGGTTATTTATCTGTTTATTCACTGTTCACTTTTTCTACGTGTAATTGAGAATGATGGTACATTTGTTTTTAATTTATAGACAAAAAAAGAAGACCAATGTTATCTATATTTTTTTTCAACAGGTTTTTATTTCTTATGAGGTTTCTCTCTGGTTTTCAGCATTTCTTGACAAAGTTTATGCTGTTTTATTGGAGAAGTTATAGAAGTATATTAAATGCCATTCTATATTCCATTATTACTGTTATTCAGATTTTTTAAGGATATAGTAGTATTTTTGATAAAAGTTCTAAACTTTTGTGAAAATGAGTATTCTTTTGAAGTCATGATCTTTCATCGACGAAAATATTTTGCTCATAGAATTGCTAACATCAAGAGAACAATCATCTAGTGAATGTTTACAGTTCCTCGCGTTTTGTCTTTTAGTTGCTGGATTGCGAATTTTTCCAGTTTGTTCATTTTATTCTATGTTTTAATTTAGGCTAATCGGATGTATATGCTAGTACCTAAAATTCAAAAACCCGATTCCTGTACGTTGTAGTCATAAATAACAACATCAGTTTAAAAACAACTCAAACTCTGTTATATCTTCTGAAAAATAAGAACAGATCCAATTTAGTCAAAGTGAGAGATTTGCACGTTCCTCACGAATGGTGTTCACATCGAGATAAGTTTTTAGTAGAAATGAGAAGTTTGAAGAACGTATGATGAAAATGATTGTTTTTCATTTTATAATTTTTCATTGTCTAAATAAACATTTGCGCTTGAATTAGAGATCTGCGCTGCATGGGCATGAGCAAGCACAACTTTTTGTTTTGATCCTTTGTCCGCAAAAAAGGCGCTCATAAAGATCGCTAAATCGAATGCATGATTTAAACTGGATGTCTTTCCAGTGGAAATGTTAGCTGGTTTCCTCATCGTTGACGAGTTTTGTGCCGTAAAAAAGTAGGCTTTCTACAGAAAAGATGAGCAATAGAGGCGTAAAACGCGAAAGAAGCGGTTAGTGGTATAGCTAATTTACCATCTCTCTAATTTAATACATAATATAAAACCTATTTCTCACACTTTAACGTTTCCAGCTGGAATTTTCATCATAATCTTCTTCACACGATAAACTTTAAATCATATAATTGTTGTCCAATTTTTATATACTGTTTAAAAAATAACTCTGTAACATTTTTAGTCGAAACGGGTAAGTCTGACTTGTTAGCATCCTACATCGACAATAATAGCCGCAAGATTGCCTTACTAACTATTGAATGATAATTCATCCCAATATTGTTTCTTGTTTATAATCGATGCCAGTAATGTTATATAAAATATATTGTTTCATATTTCTTGAAATATGACGATCAAAGAAAAAGTTATCATGATATTCTCGATTTATTGTTAATAATGTTGAAACATTTTTGTTTCTATTATAGATATAATTCATTTATTTTTTATTATGGCTCAAGTCCAAAAAGAAGTCAATCATGAATCGATCAAACTAGATGTAAAAGATCAGTCGACTATAAATGGTGGCTCTGATCATGATGCCCAAGAAATAGACGAGAAGGTAGTTAATTGTTTTGATTGTCTTTCATAAATATAAAAGAGCTTGAAATAACTATTGCCCTTGGCAACTTCATTTTTCATTTTAAACAAAAATATCATGTATACAGTAATTTCATTTAATTATCTGTTTGTATATTATATGCATTTGTTTTGTCGAAAAACATTATTTAATTAAATATCAAAAAAGCATGAAATACTATCAATGTTTTCTGCATGAGTGTAAAATGAATATAATGTCGCTATTAACGAGAATAGTCAGTTGTAATCATACTCGACTTGATTATAGTTAGTCATCATGAGCCATAATTGCGACAGTAACAATACAGGAAAATATCAACATTTTGATATTGTTCGAAAAAGCGAAAAAGAAAAACATGAGAAACTGTCGAATAATTTGAGTTTACTTTTTAATGTATCTCAGGTACAAGAAATTACTATTGAGTCATCTGTTGAACATGGAAGAAATCTCCTTTTTTTCCTTCGTGTAGACTGTTTAGTCATTATTATTCTAGCTAGCCTCTCCTTTTTTGGTTGAATCCATTCATTACTGATACACTATCATTAACTAGTATCGCAACGATTATTATTTTATTATTGTTTTCTGAGAGTCAGATGTATTTCTGATAAGCTTTTGATACTATGATTTTTCACCGATGCTTTTTTCCTTAAACAAAAATTTCCATCTGTCCATAATTTCAGCACGATAGATTAGGGTCACTTCGTTCCGAACGCTCCGATATCAGCGCTGATACCGACGATATCGCAACACCACCAACATCCAGTATACTGAATAAATTTCGCGGCTCAATAGCTTGTACAGAAGGTCATGAAACACATCTTCACGTACTTGCTAAAGATCAATTTCCAGATCGTGCTATGGCTGTTTTTACGAGCGGAGGCGATGCGCAAGGCAAGTGATTTTTTTTAACTTTTGTATATGTGTATATGCATTCTTTGTAGCCTGCTCGCTGTATATGCACTAGAAATCCGCACGGGTCTAGCCGAAAATTGTTCTTGAATAGCATAATAAAAGATGTAGACGCGTTAGTAGCACTTTATAAAGTATCTTGGATCTTAGCAAGTGGTCAGGTTTTCTGAAGTAACGAAAATATAAATATTAGCGTTGGAAATAAATCTACGTCGGTTAGCCAGCGACAAAAATCACAAATGCAAGAATTTCAAAAGAGTCTTGACTGGAACCAGAAAATTTCTAAGAGTGGTTTCGAGTCAGACACGAAAAATTTTAGGAATGGTCGGGTTGAACCGACATTTTTGGCCCGTGCGGACATTTAATGCTTGCTGCACTGCTTGTTGTCATTAATTTCAAAAGCTTTTTTGCTTTATAACGTATAGTAGAACATCAGTTCCGTTGATGAATACTACATACACTTAATCTGTATGTTTTATGAAACAAGTTTTTCACTTATTGCTTGCAACGAAGTTTTGCTTGCAACAAGTTTTTCAATATTGCTTGCAATTTAGAGTGTTACGATCACTAATTTTTTGTTTGATGTCGGATCAAAATTCTTATTTTCAGAAACAAAATTGTTAGATCAAATTAGACACTAGTAGAGTAGAAATGAAAATTGAGAGTTTGTATGTTTTCTAATCGATTAATCCAATTACTATTGAAGAAGTGGTAGAAAAACTAGTTATTTGAAGACGATTTCTATTCATAGTGATGTATTACTACTGAAGCTAAATACGGCAGTTGAAAAAAGAAGAATATTTCATTAAAAAACAGAAGAATTTTAGCCGTTTTTACACCTGGAGTGCGTTGAGTGGAATATAGTTGCGTTTCATACTGATAAACGGACTTGATATTTTTTTGAAGCTGAAAAAAATAACTGTCTGCTTTAGATTTTGCATGTTCGTTCATTCTCTGCGTATAGGTTGAATTCGTTGTGAATGATATATTATGACAGAATTTGGTTTATATTAATACGTTTCTCTATTTTTCAAAATGTTTCCGATGAATAACGTGTGTATATTTAATACTTGTATTGAACTGAATATGTGTGATTGTATACTCATATATTTTTTCTCTAAAAGCACTTGAACTAATAACTACACTTGCTGTTTGTATAGAAAAATTTTTATAATATTAACATCAAATTATTTTTCATATCTATATTAATGTAAATATTGGTTATTTCTTAAATTGATCTTAATTTTCGAGTAACACTTTTTAACTGTTTACACATTTATATAATTAGAAGTATTCATTCTATTTAATTATTATTTATTAGGGATGAATCCAGCTGTGCGTGCCATTGTAAGAATGGGAATTTATCTTGGATGTAAAGTTTACTTTATCCATGAAGTGAGTATATTCGACGTATGTGTTGATCAGAGATGAAAAGATATTTGGTATTTTTGTAGGGTTATCAAGGCATGGTTGCAGGCGGAAATCTTATTCGTCAAGCAACTTGGGCATCTGTAAGCGGTATATTAGACGATGTAAGTACATGTTTTATCGTGGAAACAAAGAAGATCAGTCAGTCTTGTTATATGGTTTTCTTCATTTGTCTATTGAGTGATTATCTACTTTATATGTACATCTGATCTATCTATTTTAATTTAGGGTGGTACGATAATTGGTAGTGCTCGTTGTATGGAATTCAAAGAACGAGCTGGACGTTTGAAAGCTGCAAAAAATCTAATTGAGTATGGAATTAATAATATTGTTTGTATCGGTGGTGATGGATCTCTTACTGGTGTGAATTTATTTCGAAAAGAATGGGAAGGATTATTAAAAGAACTAGCTAAAAATGGTATGCATTCTAGAGATTTTGATCTAACAGTTAACGTGATATTTGAGCTTTGTAGGAGAAATAACATCAGAAAATGTTGAAAATTTTAAATATCTAAATATTGTTGGTTTGGTTGGCTCAATTGATAATGATTTTTGTGGAACAGATATGACTATTGGTGCAGACTCAGCATTACATCGAATTATGGGAGCCATTGATTGTATAACAACGACAGCTTCGAGTCATCAACGTTGTTTTGTTCTGGAAGTAATGGGACGACATTGTGGTTATTTGGCATTAGTAACAGCGTTGGGATCTGATGCTGATTGGGTTTTTATGCCAGAAAGTCCACCAGAAGCTGATTGGGAAAACAAATTATGTAATAAATTAAAAACTGTAAGAAAATAATGCTGTAACTATAATAACTAAGGAAGTTAAAACTAATAAAGTGTCCTCTCTCTTTAGACACGTGATAATGGACAACGTTTAAATATAATTGTTATTGCTGAGGGTGCTACCGATAAAGAAGGAAAACCAATAACATCCGAAAATGTTAAAGACGTACGTAAACCGTGAAATAATCTATGTTTTCTGACTGTAATAATAATGATCTTTATTCCAATATAGCTCATTACGAAACGTTTGCATTATGATACGAGAGTGACAATACTAGGTCATGTTCAACGTGGAGGTAAAATTCTTTTTTTTGTCTACATTGTCTTTGAAAGAGAGAAAAACTCTTTTTATCAGCACTAAATTTACTTATTTCGCAGAATATATATCATATCCAATATTTCTCTTTGTTTAGGTACACCATCTGCTTTCGATCGTATATTAGTATGTATTTTTAAATTCTAACTTGTCTAAACGGATAAAATTTTCGAAACTATATTTCATCAATAAAACTCTTTATTCATTTCTGAAAGGGCACACGTATGGGTGCAGAAGCTGTATTAGCTCTTATGGAAGCAACAACAGCATCACAACCAGTTGTTATTTCATTAAGTGGAAATCAAATAGTTCGTGTACCATTAATGGATTGTGTTGATAAAGTAGATCTAATTCTCTATTCCAATTCCTAATTATATCTCTACATTAGTATTTGTCTAGACTTTAGCAGTCGCTCAAGCAATGAAAGAAAAGAAATTTCTTGATGCTCAAGAATTACGAGGAAGAAGTTTTAAACGAAATTTACAAACATACATTCATTTGAGTAAATTACGACCAAAATTATTTTCCAGTAAAGAAGTAAGTTTAAATGATAAAATATATGATAGATAGTATGTAAGATGCGCGTAATTTGAAGTTACGGAATTATTTTCTATTTGACTTTTTTTATACATGGTTGGATAGAACTTTTCGAGCTGATCAAGAATATATCCGTTTTAACTTTTCGAACTCATTTTTTCAATGAGAAAATTAAAAAATACGGGAAAATTTCCAAAAACTCTTTCGGCACGTAAAATTCGAATAATTTTTTCTATTTTCATTTGGAAACTCTGCAGTTCCCCGAAACGTTTTTTTTGAAATTTAGGACCCTTCTCATATTTTTTTATTTTCTTATTGAAAGAATTAGTTCGAAAAGTTAAAACTAACAGATTTTTGATCCACTCGAAAAATTCTATCCAACCATGTATAAAAAAGTCAAACAGAAAATAGTGCTGTAACTTCGAATTATACGCGCCTTATACAATGAAGCGGTACTGCATCACACATATTGTTTTAGGTACGACAGGTAATATATATCCAAATTAGCTATCAGGCTATACAGTAGCTTATTTCTTACACTCATTTCACCTTGAATAGGTTAAAGTTTGATTTCTTAATTGCTTTGCTCACTTAAAATTTTTGATCCCTTTTTTATCTCTCCTATACTTCCACTAATTGTACACTATACTTCAAATCTAGAGAAACTTGTTTATATTTTCATCAAAAACGTCTATTGATGAAATTTTTCTATGGTTTTAATTTGTCATGAACCTAAGTATTAGTACAAGTATTACCGCATGAACAATGCACGTATTATTCAGTATTACGCAGTCTGAGTGATTACCAAGATTTTTAAACAATGTTCATGATGATGTCTATCTCCGTATCGATCATCGGATTAAACAATTACTTGTATTTTAACCTAATCCAAATGTGCGATGAGTAATAATTTTAAAAAACATCTCAACATTATCTCTTAAAATTCATTGGACATGATTTTCTCACGTTGATGCATGTTTCCTACTGCATGATTTTTATGATTTATGGTTCTGTTGTTTAACTTCTTAACTGGTAGTGAAACAACACAATAGACACTCACATGAGTTAAATATCTTTATTTCTCTCTTGTTATAGGCAGGTGTTGAAGGAAGAGTAAGTTTTAAATTCGCTATAGCAACATTATTTTCCTTTAGTTGTATACCATTCTGATGTGTTTTAAAAGACGAGCGCTTTAGTAATTGTACATAAAAATTGTATTCGTTGTGTTAATGTTAAAAGGCTTTGAATATCAAGCAATGGACGTTTCATATTTGACTCGATGGCTTACTGCTTTAGATTTCTGTCAGAAATACATTAAAAAGAAATTGATAGAAATCTTCCATTTCTTTCTTTAAGCTCAATTAAAAATTAAAAAACAACAAAATGTTGATTAAGGATTGTTTTTCAACTATTAAAGACTATTTTATGAATCAAAAAATATGTTATATTGCTATTATAGAGAGGAAGATCCTGAGTGATAAACTAGAAAAAGAGCAGCTAATAAATGAGACTTTTATTTTCTCGATCAAACGTATATGATATATTTCAATTGTTGTCACTCTGTTCGTAGTTGGTTGTACACATATATCAAAGACAAAAATTTAAAAGTTTTAGTTGTATTTTGTTTTAGTCATTCATTGATTAAATTTATTTCATTATTCTTATTATTCTAGCATTCATTTAATATGGCTGTGTTAAATATTGGAGCGCCTGCTTGTGGAGTGAATGCTGCTGTTCGATCAATTGTAAGATATGGTTTATGTGAAGGACATAAAGTTCATGTTATATTTGACGGATTTGAAGGCCTTATAAGTAATCAAGTAAGAATATAGTTAATCTTTTAACTATGGACAGACTATATTAGACTTGCATTTTTCTAGATTAAAAATTTCGGATGGATGTCTGTGAATGGTTGGAGTTCCATTGGAGGCTCATTACTAGGCTGCCAGAAGTAAGTTATATGTTGTATTAATGAGCATTCTATCATCTCTAAATACATTTTTCTCTTGTAGAACAACTGCAGAAAGAGTTGGCCTAGACAAATTGGCTGCCAAATTTCGTGAACATAATTTTAATGCTTTATTGATGATCGGTGGTTTTGAAGTAATCACTATTTTACGTATAAATTTATGTACAAATTTTTATTTTATGTAATTTATTTTGTAGGCTTATCAATCAATATTACAAATGTATGAAGCAAGAGATAAATATCCAGAATTTCAAATACCAATGATCTGTATACCTTGTACAATCAGTAATAATGTACCAGGCACAGAATTTAGTATTGGTGCTGATACAGCATTGAACGAAACAGTAAATGTAAGTAATTAAATTTTACAAAATCATTCATATTAAAAGTATTTAATATTATTTTTTAAATAGATTTGTGACAAAATCAAACAATCTGCTCAAGGTTCAAAACGTCGTGTATTTGTTATTGAAACAATGGGTGGTTACTGTGGTTATTTGGCTACATTAGCCGGTTTAGCTAGTGGTGCTGATCAAGCTTAGTAAGTCAAAAAAATTATATGTATATTAAATTAATTAAATAAACGTTTCTTTTTAGTATTTATGAGGAACCATTTACAATTAAAGATTTGATTGATGATGTTGATCATATGCGCAAAAAAATGGAAGGACATTTAAAGCGTGGTGTATTATTGAGAAATGAAATGGCCAATGAACATTATACAACCGATTTTATAACAAATTTATTACAAGAAGAAGGCAAAGGTGTATTTAGTGCTAGAAGTAACGTTTTAGGACATATGCAACAAGGTGGATTACCATCTCCATTTGATCGTGCATTTGCTACAAAATTAGGATGCAAAGCTGTAACATACGCCGTATCGTTGATGGAAGATGTAGCAACCAAAGATGGTCTGTAATTACTATTAAAAATGCGCATAGAAAAATAGATAATATAAATAATTTTTGTTATTTTTTAGGTAAAGTGGTGTGTAATACACCAGCGAGTGCTGTTGTACTTGGTTTAATGAAACGACAAAATGTTTTTACACCAGTCGAAGTACTCAAAGGAAGAACTGATTTTGAACATCGAATGCCAGTAGAACAATGGTGGTTAAAATTACGTCCATTACTCCGTATATTAGCTAAACATGAAAGTGTTTATATTTCTGATTTTATTGAATCAAGTATAGATGACGTACACGACTAGATAAACGACTATAAATTTCTTAGCCGTTTATATTTTTCACAACTACGCATAGTTTTTCTGTTCACTAATGCCTCTTTATTAAGTGGCTATTTTTGTTCATAATGTATCTATTAACATTTATTTATGAAGCGATTGGTACAATCTTTTCTCATTCCAGCATCTATCTCATTCCCAGTGTGTTTTTCTCTTTTCAAAAAAAAAGATAAAAAAACATTTTCATTATACGTACATCTAGTCTAAACTATTTTTTATTTTTCATTTTATTTTGTTGATTTTCATTCACTTTCCATTTTTTTCTTTTTTGTTTTTTCTATAAATAAATAAACTAAAAAATACTATTTTCTATCTAATGTTTGCATGACTTTTGAAATTTCTCGAGGAAGACTAAGACTTAAACGAATACTTTCAGTTTAACGTTGAACTGGAGAGTATTTTTTGCTCTCTTCTATCATTGCAAGGGTCAACTTGTTTTTCTTTAAAGTATTTTCAGTCTTTTCTATATATATAAATTCAATTTTTTTCGTTTTGTTATTTCCTGAATAATTTTTATACATAGTTTTTAATGCACTTTATTTATACTCTCACTTCTAAATTCAACAAAAATTCTGTAATTTCAAATTGATACACTGCACTGATCGTTTCTCTACTCGTTTTGTGAATACAAAAGATCAAATGTTAGATTTTTACCTACAGCATCAGTTTTTTTTCTTCTCTTTTTCTAATCAAGGAATGGTGTATTGTTTCAGTTAGAGTAGTGAATATCAAAGCTAGCATCTGCCACTCGTTGAAGAAACGAATCACTCGCATAATAAAAACTCTGAAGATTTTCGAAAAACCAGTGATTCTTCGATACTATACGTTTCGGCAAAATAAGAAAGCGAATAACTACGTATAGTCTCGCAAAAATATGAACTTTTCTCCTGGATTGTAAAAAAACAAAAAATTCCATGAGATAACATTTAAGAATGTTGACTAGGATAAGAAGTCGGTTGAATAAAGATAAAAATAGAGTTCAATGACACTCATCTCTGTTTAAAGGTTATTGTCACACAATATTTTGTGATTAGATGTTTGTGCATATGTTGACAGTTTTTTCTCTCCTTCGTCATGGATGACTATGTTGCACACACACACACACACACACACACACATCTATATATGTATATATCAATTTGTATTTTGATAATATATTTGTTAAATACACTTGATTTATTGAGTAAACATGGCGATGAATGAATAAAGACAAAAAAAAGTTTAAAATGACTCCGATTTATTCTCGTAACTATCGGTGGAATATTATACATTTGATTAATTTTAAAAAAAGAAAAAGAAAGTAGTATGTATGTTCTATAACTTTTGTCAATAGGAGTGAATTATTCATGTCCTTTAGATACGACAATTTATAGTAACTTGGCATTTATATTCAAGATGTTTCATGAGAAAAAAGACTGAAGGCCTATTACCGATTAGTAATATAATCACCATCACATCACAATATATATTCTTTTTGTGTATGGAAGGAAATTAGGTTTCTTTTTAACACCTCCAGTGCGACAGGGGAGTGTATATTTTGTATTGTTCAAACAAAACTAAAGAGAAAAAAGAAATAATAGAGAGTGAGAGAGAGAAAAATAAGACAAAAATGTTGTACACTATGATGATTTGCCATTCTTTCTCTCTCTCTCTCCTCTTCTTTCATTTTATTATTGTTTCATCTGGTGGACCGTAGGTAACTATATATTTCACCTTTTTTCATCTAGACTTATTTTTCTTTATTTTTCTGTTTATTGAAAGACCTATAATTGTTCTATATATATGGGGACACACAGAGAGAGAGAGAGAAAGAGTAAGTAGGATCCTTAGTGAAACAAGAGAAAAGTAAAGATCGTTGAAAACTACATAAAGAAAAATTAAATTCGAATTCACCTGTATGTATCACACAATAAAACTGTATATACAAACAAATAAATATGATGAGAGAAAAAAACTTAAAAATATAGACAAGGACGTATAAAATCTAATTTTCGCGAAGAAGTTGCGTAGAATGGATTTTTTTCATTAGGAGATGAATAGGTATGTTTTTTTCATCATATTTTTAAACCAGACTATCGAGTTTTCTTTAACGAGACATATCTTTTATTGAAGAAAATTCTAACTGTCCTCTGTTCACTAATCGTTTTTGAACAGCGATCAACACCCATTTATATGCTTCAAAGAGAACATTGACTAATTAGGGTCGTATTGCATAGATTTTATAGATTAAAACACGTATAATGAAAAATAGATTATCTTTCTTTGCAAATTCTATTCCTTTTGTTTTTATCTTTATTCATACTTATCACAAGAATGTACAACTAGCTGTGTTGAACATGACTTTTATCTCAGTACAAATCAATGTAAGAATGGGAAACATGTTTTTATCCAAAGAAACAGGAAAAAGGGTTTTGAAAATGGAGAAACAGTGACTATCGTATACAAACGGAAAAAAATATAACCAGGGAAAACTTTTTTTTAAATGTATTTTTGTCGTTATTCGACTTTTTATGATATGAAAAACGTTTTCAATAGTTCGGCAGCAAGGTTAGCTGGCCAAGTCGTAAATAGACAATCCATATCTATATCCATTACATACACAATAAATGGAAACAATATACTATAACTAAAAAGGTCCATGATGATGCTAACTGTTATTCATTTTTTTTTTATAAACAAATCTTAAACAACAGTTCGTATATCTTTAGTTTTTGTGGCATATTTATTAATAATGAATAACGGGAAGTGTCATCATGGACTTTTTTTAGTTATAGTATATTGTTTTAGTTTCTTGTACGTGTGATAGATATAGATATGTCTGTTTATGACTTGGCCAACTAACTTTACTATCGGAGTGTAATTCCGTCACGTTATTTTTACTTCTTGTTTCTCTTATAATTTTCGAACGACAAGATGTCCAGAATTCTGAGACACCCAAATGAAAGAGAAAAGTGTGCTACACATTTTGAGATGTTTCCAAATTTTACACGATCTTTCGTTCAAAAAATATGATAAAAATGCAAACATATAGTTTTCAAAACTTACGGGAAACAGTAAGTGTTTATATTTTTATCACATCTTCTGGACGATAGATCGTGTAAAATGTGGAAAAAACATCTCAAAATGGGCAGCATACTTTTCTCTTTCATTTGGGTGTCTCAGAATTTTGGACCTCTTGTCGTTCGAAAATTATAAGAGAAAGAAGATGCAAAAAAAAAACGCGACCGAATTTATACTCCGGTAGCGAAGTTAGCTGGCCAAATCGTTTATTGTTAAACATCGATCATATTAGACTTTAGTAGAAAAAGAAGGAGGTTAAAGAAATTGACAGCTAAAGTAACTTTTCTAGTTGTAAGAAGAAAATTTTGAGGATTTAATTTAATCTGGTACTACAGTCACGCCTTATTTACCATATTCATTAAACATTTTGTTGCACGTATATTTATTAGAATGTTATTTCACGCTGTTTTCGAAAATAGATTTTCTTTCGATCTCTTGTCTGTTGAGACTGTACAGTTCATTATTGAAAGAAAAAGAACATGTTACTTCTTTCATCGTTGTATTCTATTGTCCTACTATCGATATTTCGTTATTCTATTCTTTTATTTAGCAACTGTTCTCATCTTTCATCTGTGATAGTTAGTAAAATTTAGGCAAATTCATTCATTATTTTTGTTAACAGATATGCCCCTATAGAAAAGAGTAGTTATACTTAACAAAAACTGAACATTTTTCGATAATATGTCATTATAGATGTTTATGTATTATGATAAAACATGACAGACTATTTATTTACTCTCATCTTTGATTGACACGAGTTGAAACAAACAGAACACAATTTACTAGTTGAGCTGTATTTCCTTTTAGTGTCTAACAAAATAAAATAGATTATAGTTCTATTTTTAACTATAATCTAAGATTTACTCCACTATAATCGAGTGATGAAAAAGAATTTCTAAATCTCTTAATTGTTTTTATACATTTGTATGGCATACAAATTTATTGTCCTTTTGTATCTTCTTTTTTTCTTGGTTAGAAACATTTTTTCTCGTCTTATTTTTTTCACTCGTACATATATTCGAAATTTTTTTTTCCCTCTTTTAGATGATTTACATAAGTGAGTGACACAACAAACGCTGCTTTTTGGGAAAAAAAAAAATTTAAACTACTGTATCATATTCTTCTATCTTTCTATATTCTATCTTATTACTTAAAATAGTTTTGTAGCCAATATGCTTTTTGCTTATTACACCTGATACATACACACATATATCATCATCACTACTATTTCTACTCGACTATGAATAAAAATGGTGAAAGTGGAGAAGAAACAACAGTACGTCTAAGAGAAAAGAAACTACTACCAACAACAACAACAGCAACAACAACAAATATGACAGATATAAATTCTTCTCCTTCTACCGTACAAAACGGAAATATGACATCGACAACAACAATGAACTCATCATCGTCAACGCAATCTACAACAGCAACCTTCGAAAATGCATTCTTTTTTGGTTTAACAATTGATGACGCTTTAAATTCATCCGAAAATCTCATTGAACTGTTTTATAACGCATGTAAATACAATCATTTCGATTTAGTGAAAAAATGTGTCGAAGATAAAAATGTGAACGTGAATGAACCGTATAACAATGATTATCCATTGTGTATAGCTAGGTGAGTTACTGAGAACTATGTTATCGAATTAGAGACAGGAGATCTAGACCTGACAGATCTAGATCTAAACGTGTTATTAAAGCCAGAAAATCCTAATTTCGGAGCGGTTCATCCTAACTTTCAAAGGCTAGCAAGTTAGAGGTACAATTAGATCCGAACTTGTTTCTACCCGATCTGAACTTTTGATCTTGACTAAAAGTGGACGAATCTGTGTCAGACCTGGATCTGAGACCCGAAACGAAGTTTTAAACTTGAAGCAAAGAATTCTCACAAGTGAATCTTTTTTTATACTAATCATTATCCTTAAAAAAGAATTCTTAAATTGATGATGAGAAAAAGGCACGTTCAGTGAGCTGAACTAAAGTAGCACTAAAATCTTGATCTCAAGTGTTAGGATTTTATAGATTTTTGCAGGATAACGTGTAGAATGCGCAAGGTTGGTGTATTTACTTAAACTTAAACTAATCGAACGCCCATTTTTATAAATGCTCACGAAGGAACGTTTTTCGGTGAACTCTTCGGATTTCGTTACGTTATTCGATAGAGTATATTGAGATAAGAGAAAGCCTAAAAGAATTCGAGCCCATGGCTCTTTAAGGCCCGGTTTTATGGAAAACCAGTTTTTCAGAAACTCTGAAAAATAACCAAAACTTTTCTTATTGAGGCATGATTGTAGCCCACAAATTTCTGATTAAAATGAGACATCTCTCAGCTCTTCGCGACCTTTCTTTACAAAGTTATAAAATTTACACGAAAAGCCCTGAATTAATTTCTTCTTATTTCTGTAGCTTTGAGCTGACTGACAATGAACATTTAGGGCTTTTCTTGTAAATTGTATAACTTTGCAAAGAAAGATCGCGAAGAGGGAACCTTTCGAGATGTCCCCTTCCGATTCCAATGATTTGTACATAGATCGATAGACCTCGATGAGGTAGTAAATACCCTAAAAGGATTCATGCCCATGGCACTTTAAGGCCCGGTTTTATGGAAAACCAGTTTTTCGAAAACTCTGAAAAATAACCAAAACTTTTCTTATTGAGGCATGATTGTAGCCCACAAATTTCTGATTAAAATGAGACATCTCCCAGCCTCATCAGATCACACCTGGCTTTAACTGTCTCTGCACATAATGCAACACGTTTTATATAATAGTTTCAGGCTTGTACTCCTTTAAAGGAGCATTCCTATGAGAGAAATAAACTTGAATTGTTTTGATTTTCTTTTTTTTGTACCTTAGTCATAAAGGTCATTACGATATTGTGAAATATCTCTTGGAACACAATGCCGATGTCCATTTAAAACGTGAATTAAATTTGATGACAACTCGTGGTAATCATCGTTTATCTCGTGCTAATTTACATTATGGTGATAGTCCATTATCATTGTCCGTTAAATATGGTTTTGAAGACATTGCAATTTTGTTAGTTGAACATGGTAGTGATATATTGAATGAAAATTATGATTTTGAAAAATCACCATTACAAGATGCCATACGTTTGAATCGAAATAAAGTTTTAATAAAATTGATTGAAAAATTAAAGATAACTACACCATCAGAATCAAATGAAAATTTGTTATTACAAAAGAAGGGCGATATTTTACGACAATGTTTAATTAATGATCAAATTGAGGCTTTGAAAGTGTTTGTACCCAATGTTTGGGAAGAGTTAAATGGTGACTTTATTTTTGCTGTGTTGAATAATTTGATGTTAAAAAATAAAATACAATCGGATAAAGCATTTGATGTGTTAGAAGCGATTCTAGAAGCGATACCATCGATCAAATTGAAAATGTACGATATTGGTGATTTATTAAAACGTTTTTTACATGTATTACAAGCTCAATTTTTGACAATTAATGATGATAGAATACAAATACTTTATTTAAGGACATCATTATTATTTACTATATTAAAATATCACGATACGGTTGATTTTTCACAATATTTAGATTTATTAGATTCTTATTTTCGTGCAATATTTAGTAGTGTTGAAAATACAGGTCAATGTACAAATTCTTGTTATTGTCTATTGATTATTAATGTTTGTTTATTTTTGTTTCTTTTAGGTGAAGGTATAAATCAAATATATGAATATATTATACGTTTTTATGAAAATTTAATCCTAATGGGTCATCTTATATTAACAAATAATGATGTTATTTTAAAATTACTTGAATGTCCACATGTTACACAAATGCAACCGGCCGATATGTATTTATCTTGGCGTGCAAGAAATCCATTTTTATTAAAAGAAAGATGTCGATTGATTATTAAAAATAATCTAAAATCTTTTAAACGTTCATCAATAGAAAAATTAAAATTGAACGACGAAACATTTTTATATATGTATTATCAACGATAACAATAATAACTTTTCTCTTTTCTCTTTTGAGTGTTAGAATATATATATATCTGTATTCTCAATTACCAAGTTGTCCTTTCATATAGTTACCAGTATTCTAAAAAACATATTGTAGTCTAGATGGTTAATAAAATTAGTGAACGTTTCATCTACCATGATTTATACTGTTTTGTGTACGATTTTTTTTCTTTAAATTTTTAAAATTGATAAAATACTCATCTATTTACTATCGAACAAAATTTTTTGACTTTTCCTCGTCTATAGTTTAACGGGAATGTTATGGAATTATTGGGCTTTTTTTTTAAATAAAACTTAATGGTAAACATGCGCGCTTTTTTTTTTCTTGAACTTTTTTGCATTGCTTTTTTTTTTCTATTTTATAATTGTGATATTTTTTGTCTCTGTTTGTGCGTCTGTATATTGCTTCACTAGTTAGGCGTAATTCATAATGTTTGCTCTGTTGTTAGAATTCTACTTCTCCGTGGTGTTTCGTCGAAGTTTACATATATTGCATTTGTCATATTTTGATGCAAATATTCTTAGATTTTTTTTATCAAAATAGAGAACAATCATTTAAAAACAAAATAAAAAAAACGATTTATTATTTTATACTTGTTCCCATCTTCTTCTCACTGTGACTATTCTTAAAATTATCCATACGATTACTTTTCATACTTCTACGACATAAAAAGGCAGACTTTTGATACTGACTATTAGTCACATCATTTTACAAATTGTTACTCGTGAACGTTTTAATAACTTAATTAACGTTGTCGAATGAAACATAAGATAGTAGGCCAATTTTTGTTTGATAAGATTTTTGTTTATTTTGCTTCTAAGCGAGTTGTTGAAATGGATATAAAAGAACTATTTTGATTTTTCATTTTGTGAGAATACAAGTTATTTGTTTTAGTTACAAATACAATATTATTTTGATAAAAGTCAGAAATAAATCTCATTTTTTATTTGGAATAGAGTCCATTCTAAATTTTGATTTCTTGAAAATAGTTGCTTTTGATATTTTGATCTGCTTTTGTCGGAAAAAAATTCCGCTTTTTGTCATTTTCTTTTCTTAATTGACTCTATTCATTTAAAAAAACAATGTGTTAAATAGTTTGTTTTTTCCTGTTGTGTCTTTCTTTTTTCGTTATTTTATCAAGAATAAAAACAGAGGATGTAAGAAATTTTTTGCAATATTATTTATCCTTAGAAACGTGTGGCAAATCTAAAAACACCCTTTGTTTTTCGCGTTTTTCAGACTTGGAAAGGTGGGAACTCTGGTGTTGATATTTATGCTAGTCGATTTTTTCTTGTTTAATCTTTTACTTCACAGACAACATTTTTCTCATGTGTTTTTCAGTTCCACTAAGTTAAGTAGTAGATGAATATTCTACATCCACAGGGAAGAAGCATCATATTATGACAGAAGTGTAAAATTTAATCGTAGATAACAGGGATTAGTTAGATTGTAAATGTTCTAGTTTGTATCAAGCTTAAAATATGAATTTAAAGAGTTTTCTTCTGACTATGCAGTAATTCTTACAATGAAGCTGTCGGTAAGTAAAGTCACAGATTTGAGAGTAAAAAGTCAATGCCATGTTTCTATATTCTTTAGAAAATAAAATTTCATAATTTGAAGAACTTAAACATTGCTGAAAAATTCATAGCATAGAAAAAATCTAAAACTGTTAGAAACTATATTGAAGATAAATTCCAAAATCGTTGAACAGTAACTTCTGCCAGTCCGGTCTCATGTCTCGAACGCAATAATTTTTCCGATTGACCTACAGAGTATATCCTGAACGGAATACAAAGTTCAGTCGGGATATAGTTAACATTCCAATCGGGATATATACGGCTTGTCCGCGTAACGCGACACTTCGCTGATCAAGTTTATAAAAAAAAATTTTCGCTTTCGAAAATTTTGAACACATCACTAGATGTAATTTTTAATTCTAAGGACCCGTTTAAAACGCTTTTTTGATAAAAATTGGTTTTTGAGTCTCAAAACCGGTTTTTGAACATTTCAAAAATCGCATTTTCTATTTTTAGCCGAAATAGTTTTCGAAAAATAAATTTCTGAACATATGGTTTCGTAGAAAATTTAATTCTCTACAAAATGGTGTATTTGGTTTTGAGCTTCAGCCCTTTAGAAAATTTGTACATATTTGTACATTTTTCGACTTAATTTACAGTTTTTGACCCTCCAACCCGAGGTAGCGACTTTATTCTTGCGTATATCGGCTGACTGTGGCACGAATAATTATCTGTATAATATCAAAATCTCCTGATCATGTTAAGTTCCTCGAAAACACTCGACAAAAATAGTGCGTAACACCGTTACGTTTTGATGTTTTTGCCTTAACTGAAGATGTTGGAAAAATTCTTTTTTTACCATCGGATAGCCCGTTTGGTGTTCTACAATTTCTGTGCTAAAAACTTTTCATTATGACCTTTATCTTTGTCGGAATTCACGTTTTTGTTGATAGCACTCGAAAAAAAGTGTCTTTTTTCGTAACACCGTTACGGCCTACAAAAACCGTTCTCAAAATTCGAGACTTCATGCAAAAAATTTCGTTTTTATACCGTAAATAGGGGTCGGCGAGTTGCATCGAATGGCGTTTAAATGAGCTTTTGAACTGTTTTAGTTTCCGAGATAATTTCATTTTAGTGCGTCCAAAACGTAACACCGTTATGTTTGGACAAGTCGTATATCTTTATGTTACCAAACATGTTAAAAAAACTCTTTAAAATATATCTGATCATCCACTGATCGTATTAAGTAAGGTTTAAAAACCTCAATTTGTAATCTTAGATAATAACATGTCAACTACGATTGCAGAACTCTCCAGTATGTAGCAAAATTCCAGCAGAGTTAGTTTCTCGTAATTAGAAGGACTTTATGCCTGTGAAACTTTCCAGTAATGTAATAGGTTTCATTCGCAAACGACACCGTTTCTTTTCATGTTTTTCTAACAGTTGTTTTTGTCGGCGTATATTTAATAATGACTTTGAAACCTATTTATCGCAGTTTACTACAACTAAAACATGTAATGCATCTTCGTTAGTGATGAATTCAACGTTATTTTTAAGTACGTGCGGTAGGTAAGGAAAGTATGTGATACGTGCAATTGTCGTAACATAGTTTTTTAGGCAATTCTACTGAACAAAAAATGATTTTTCTACTTAAAGCTAAGAGCGGCCGCTCGCTGACTAAGTCCGTCACTGATCTTCGTGCCACTCATTAGGTAAATTATTGGTACATTTTCGTCAAGAATGCTGTGTTTTAGGCATTAGAACAAGAGACTGAAGCAAGGAGTTTATTTAACTAAATTTAATAAAAGCAAGTTTTTTCTTTCTGTCTTGAATATGATAGACTAAAGGACAACTATATTTCGTAGTGAGTTGACTTTATGTCAACCCCCAAATAAAAGTTTTTCGTTTTCTCCCAGCGGAACTAAAAAACTAGTTTTGTTTTTTTGGTCAAGCAGAGAAAAATTTGTTTTCTTACACTCCAAAAGAAATTTTTTACAGCTCCCAAAAGTTCACTCCCTATTCACGCCCCTGGCGATTTATGGTATAGACCGATCGGGATTTTATCCTGATTGAGATGTAAGTCATGACACCACACTATCTGGTACGATAAACAATATTCTAAATTTTTACCATTGATAACGATAGTTAATGTTTTTCTTTGTTAGCCCAAGACATTAGAAAAAGTAAAGTTTTTATCAAAATTAAATCGGCGGAAAATCTATTTCTTTGTTTTTATCTTTGAGCAAAGAAGTTTCCATCACAACAAGTATGAGAGACTCAAGGTGAGCATATAAGACGGGAAAACACTCTTTTTGTCTCCGTAATCTTCTTAGAGTTTAAAATTCAATCTTGCTACTCTACGTCGCATATGTTTTCTTATTGAAACTTGTTGTTTTATCTAAAAGATAAACATAAATAAGTCAAATATTTGTTTAGTTCTGCAATAATAAACTCAATTTGCTGTATAGAATATCATATGACTATAGGATATATTTATATGTCACATATTTCTTTGAGTTAAAAATAAACGTTATTACGAAGACACGGTTTGCTTGAGGAGCACGATCCATTAAACATACAAAAATACGTTTGCACACGACAAAAATACGTTTTGCATGATACTTTTGTTAGACTATATTTTTCTGCTAATATCAATGTTTTAATTAATATTTTTAAGAACATATTCATAATGTGAATATTGTGGCAAATCTTTTGAGATAAATCCAAGGGGGAAAAAGCGGACTTCAGGACTTCGAAGTCCGCTGAAGTCCTGAAATCCCATGAAGTCTGCCGGAGTCTCTTAAAATACACTTTGTTATAGCTCTGTACGGTGTATCTTTAATGATGTGTATCTCTAACCTATCCGACTACTTTAATCTTTTTGGAATCTCACTTTGAAAAATTATCGGGATTTTCAGCAAAAATTGAAAACCAACTAAAAATTTCGAAATACACATCATTCGACTCACTTTTTAATCCTGATTCCGAATATGATATTTTTATTGCACACAAGTTGAGTTTTCTTAAAGAAAATCGAGAATTACAGGCAGAATTTCGACTTTTTCGCCTCTGATTTAGAAAAAATGACTTTTGTCAGCAATAAAGGGGAATTTTAAAAAAATGGCTTTACACTTTTGTTACCTGTGAGAAGGCAAATCGAATATGGTGTAAACTGAAATCAAAAACTAATTAAAAGCAGATGAAAAATGTTGAAAAGAACCGAACGTCGTTGAAGATTTCCAGAAAACCTTTTCAAAAATCCTCTTACATTCATTTTTGAAATGTCGCAAACTCTGAAGTTCAGTTGTTCAGTTTTTCACGCACCATTTAATGGTGTATTTGAAAATATCTGTTGCTATGAAAAAATTGAGAAATATTGGTTTTAAAAAAAGTTGAACTTTTAGACTTTAAAATTTAAATTTAAAAGTAAGGAAAAAAGATTTTTTGATAATTCTTTTTTCCAGAATGTCGCTGAAACATTTCTCTACATGATACAACTATTGAAAAAATTTTCAGTTTAAAAATTTTTTATTAAAAAAGGAGTTCCCAAAAACCATGGTTTTCTGGAAGTCCTGCTTCCCAATTTCTTTAAACCTTTTCAACATCACTATCAATAATTGCACAATAACTGCTGATAATCATTGTTTGTCAGAATTAAAATTTTTTCTTTTTTCATTTTAGATAGTGCAAAATAATGGCAGAAAGACTTTTTAACACATGCAGACGACTATTAAATACCATGTCTCTATCGATTTCAGGAGCTTTTTCTACAGAAACTGTGGGAGCAACGACTGAATCATATTTGTATGACCCAGACAAAGGTTGTCTTTTGCTTGATTTACCACCTGAATTATTCTATTTAGTTAGTGAACATCTAAACTATCACGATATAATTAATCTGAGTAAAACATGCTCTCGTCTCTATGAATATATCAATAGCGATGTATTTTGGACACGTCTGATATATTGTCAATTTCATTCAAGTATTGCCAAATTATACACCTCTGACATCTTCAACGACAAACGAAATCAAGATGTGATTAATAGACGAAATGAAATTCGACAACCAGATTTTATATCAAAAAAAGGTAATGAAGATAAGTTGGATCAAGCAGCCATTACATGTTGTACACATTACAATGAAACAGCAGTTCTCAATAATGGAACGTCAATGTACATTTCGCAAGATCAATTTCGGCATGATGTTAAATATTATCAATACAAAACACAATATTTAACCGATAATAATCGAAAGAATACTCCATTAATGAAATTAATCTATTTTTATTTGATTGATCGTAAACGATTAGCAGCGATTAATATGGGTGTTGTACATCTTAATAATAACTATTTGATTGGTATAAAAACATCAGATAGTTTAAATGGACACGTTGTACAGTTAAATACGGTATGTTGGCTTGACATATCGGGTGAAATGGAAAATATTCTACCAGGAAAATATGAATTAATATGGAGGATGAAATTGAGCAGTAATTGTTATATACCTGGTATAACTGAATTCATTGCCGTACCACAACATGGCTCACTGATTTGTTGTAAATGGTCAGAGGAGAATTTTCGAGAAAAAAAAATTGAATATGGTTCACAGTGGTTTACAACAGAAATGGGAACCACAAATATTTATGAACCGTCTACTGTACTTATAGCAGTGAGAAATTTAGTTAATCCATATTGGAAAAACGGTGTATCATGGGATTGTGTAGAATTAAAACTGGTGCCGTTGAAAAATTCTTCTTTATCAATGTAAACTATTTAAAGGCTTTTATAAAGTAAGAAGGATATGGATAATTTAGACTAAAGTTTCAAAATTGAACTGTGCAACAGTATTCGATGTCACCATTTATTTGTTTTACTATATTTTATATATATATATTTATGCTTTTTTGGTTTTTGTTTGCTTTCGTTGTAGTTTTTTGTAATTTTTTATTGTCATAGATGCTGATATCATATAAGTTTTATTCTATCTTAAAATAACATTAAGATATATTCTATTATGATATTCTAAAACTGAAACTACCAAAATATACAAAATTAACGAGTACGAACAGAGATTTGAACATATAAACTTATGAAGGAAGAGTCTCAGATGTTGAATAGCTTTTCCTTAAAACATACTTGCACTTATCACTCATTTTTGGTGTTGATTCTGAATATGTTATCAGACCTTTGTTGAGTGGATCTTCCGTATCCGACTTCTGAAAATGCACTGCGACTTTCCAGTTGGACACATTCTAATCTAGCTAGCTTGTAGAGAACATCGAATTACCTACATATAAAAATTCTGAGAATTGCCGAACAAGTTTTAACAGAATATAGAAATTTTATTACAAAAGAAGGCAAAAAGTTCAGCTTTTTAATTAGACTAACAATTCAAATGAGTGATAATTAAGTATGTTTCGAAGAAAAGCTATTGGATATTTAAGATTCTTCCTTCGTTAATTGTACAGTAAACTACAAAAGTAAACTTACTATTCTAATTGAAGTACAATGATTAAAATTGTTCAATCGACTCAACAGTACTCTAATTGATTCGTTTTTCGATTTCAGACATGCATTACAATATCTTGAGGTGACTCTTCGCCATGAATAATAGGAACAGAAACTATTGACAAACACTAGTATAGTTGACAGTTTTCGAATTAGTTTCAAACAAAAAAAAACATAATATTTTTCTTACGAGTACTTCTGCAAATCAGTAATATACCGGAAACGATATAATTGCGAGAATGTTCTTTATAAATTGTTTCGATTTCTTCAGAATGAGCTAATCATAACCGAGCAAGACTGCATTCAAAAGAGCTATTGCTCATACTATTGTTTATTTAAAATTATCCTGTAATTAATAACTCTCTCTCAGTTAATTGCATCATTGATCATTACTCTCAGATCTATTATCCTGACCAGTAGAGTTGATTCATCAATTGTGTCACTAATAAATAGATAGGGATGCAACAAACGTTATCAAAACAAAAAAATTAAATTGTTTGGTAGTATTATCCGAATGAATCGAACAGTAATTACTCAAATACGATTAATAACCGTTTCATTGTATTACTCAACTAGATGTACACACGATCTATTTTTCAACTCGCTAAAATGTTTAACATATAGTACTTCTCAAGAGTATCCCACCTTCTAGAGCTCAAGAACCATGGTAGCTAGTGATCTTATGTGGTATAGGTGGTATTTCTATTCATATGTTGAGAATTACAACAGTCCAAGTCTCTTTTACTGGATAGTTCGCGAGGTATAACGGTTTCTTGAGTTTTTCATTCTACCTTCTGTTCTTAGTGGGATAAAACCATTTAACCTTTTTACCAAATTATAGTCATGACTTTACTCTATCTACAGTATAATTTAAGGAATAGCAGAGTTTCATTAAAACATTTTTCATTAAAAAATTTTCATTAAAAGGAAGTTCATTAAAATTTCTAATGAAACTTCCGGTGTATTCGGTGACCTTGGATTTTCATTAAAATTTTTAATAAAATTCTTGTGTCATCCAAACTTTTTTATGGAACTCCAAGTCACAGTCACTTTGCAGAAGACATTTTAATGAAAGTTCGGTGAACAGAATATAAGTTAAAGACCCGAAAATAGGTAAATATGTAAGGCAATTCAAAGTTCAAAGTACTATTTTATTTTTGTCTTATTTATACACCATTCGATAGAGCTCGGCGAGCTGATCAAGAATATCTACATTTTAGCTTTAAAAAATGGTTTTTGAATGAAAAATCTTCAAACTACTAGAAGAGTCTCAAATTTCGCAAAATCCTTCTGTTTCAAAAAAGTTTAAATTTTTTTCATTTTTATTCTTCTGACTTTTCCAAAGTATTTTTTTCTGATTTAGCATTAAAAACTGAGTATGAGAATGATGTTTGATCGAGGCTGAAGTAAAAAGTCTATCCAGTATGGACGTCTTGAGGTTCCTAAACAATTTTGCAAACCTATCTAGGTTTTTTGTGAAGATGAGGCCGACATTTTTATTTTATTAGAACCGCCATTAAACGAGCTTTAAAAGTATGCATCGAAAAAATCGAAATTCTCCCCGTAATTCTCTATTTTTTCCACCAGAACTCACTTTTTATGCAGTAAAAATCTTATATTCGGAGTTAGCGTCGAAAACCGAGTTGAATGATATCTATATGTTTTGAAAATTTACCTTGATTTTCATTTTTTGGTGAAAATCTGAGTAATTTTTCGGTGTGAAAATTTGAAAAAAACAAAGGTGGTCGGATAGAACAAAAAAAGCGTATCATTCGACTCGGTTTTCGACGCTTACTCCGAATATGATATTTTTACTGCATAAAAAGTGAGTTCTGGTGGAGAAAATAGAGAATTACGGGCAGAATTCCGATTTTTTCGCTCTCGATTCAGAAAAAATTTATTTTCTCAGGAACAAATGACATAAATCTAATTTTTTTTGAAACCGAAGGATTTTTCGAAATTTGAGATTTTTCCTTCAAAAACCAATTTTTTAAATGTAGCATGTAGATATTCTTGGTCAACTTGTCGAGCTCTATCGAATGGTGTATGAATAAGGCAAAAATAAAGTAGTGCTCGAACTTTGAATTAGCGGCGCCTTATATTTATGTCTTGACTTGCATTTATTTGCTGAAAAATATTTCGAGTACAATGAAAGCACTCCCATCATCAGATTCCCACGAACTTGTTTTTTTATTTCTTTTTCAGTCGTTTTTTAAAATTTATTATGAACATTTATATGAATAGAAATAACTTTTTACAAAAGAAATTATATATTCTGATAGAGCTTGAAATTCTCTACCATTCTGTACTTTGATTAACAAATCACAAGAAAGAGCACATTCAAAAGTACAAAAAGAACTGGGTTCTGATTTTTACTACACTTTTTTACGGAAATATTAACAGAAGAAAAAGGTTCAAGTGGGATAAAATACCAGATTTTCAAAGCTTTCATTTTTTTCGTCTTTCATATAATCTGCGTAGTTTTCTTGATTGAAGTTTTGAAATTAAAGTTTAGGTATGATTTTGTAGAGTATTTCGCGGCGCATCTTTTTAAGAAAAACACTAACCGTTGGGTCCTAAAGAATCACGAGAAAAATAGAAAATACTGAGAGGCCGCACCTGTTACAATTCTTGGGAATGTAATAGACAGAGGGAATTTATTCAAAATTTTTACTAGCAAATATTTTCGAATTCAGACTGGGAAAGCAGAGACTAATAGAGAATTTCAAGCTCTACCAGAATATATAATTATTTTTCTAAAATATATTTGTATATTCATAATAGATTCAAAAACCCGACTGAAACTGTTTTTATTTAGGTGGATACATATATTAGGTAAAATGCGTGTCACGTCAAAATCATTTTAATGGAAGTATCGGCACTTTCATTTAAAAGAAAACGCTTTAATGAACGTTTTTTTAATGAAAGTCACGAATCCTATTTTAAAGTGTTTGACTGTTATTGGTTACTGAGATACAGCTCTTGCACAATCGGCATCTTTTCAACAGGATCTTTTCAGAGGATTCGTTCTCTCTTCTACAGAATCTGCATTCGATTTATACAGAAATCCATGACAAAAATGCAATAGCTGAAATATTATCAAGAAGGTTTTACCCTCAGCCTCACTTTGTGTGAGTTTCTCATATGAATTTATTCTAAATTTTTCTTACACATGCCATTTTGATGATACTACTTAGTAAAAATCTAGTGAAAATATCAATGATTGATACTCCATTGAATTATTCATCAATTATCTCGATAATTTGTATTACAAGCAGCCGTGTGATCGACAACATCTGTTCTACTAATTGTCAAAAACACCTACGTATAAGCCACTTAGCTTTTCATACATGTCTATTTATACGTATTTTTCGTGAGTAATAGACATATAAAACTACTTCATAACTATCAAAATTGTAAAATAAAATTTCTAAAATGTCTGATAACTGATATTTGACAAACAGCCTTTGCCCTTATAGAACGATACCACTATCTAGCGACATCAGAAGGAGAACGATGGACGAAAGGAGAGGTGTTCCTCTGACAAACAACAGAGTTATGGTAGTGCCTGCTAAAGACGTTTAATCGTTACACACATGTATCATTTTAATCAAAAAAGTTAGATCTGTACAAAAGATATTGTTTATTGACAATTTTTTTTTGACTGGACTGCATGAAAGTTAGAATGTTGTCCTAAATGTTTTGAATGTTTGTTTTTGAATTTTTTGGGCGATATATTATAGTATGTGACGGAGAGAGATTACAGGAGATCCATCTTTCATAAACCGCCTCACCCCTTTGTATCACTTTAGAAACTATCCTGCTAGTTTTAGATTAGATTATCGTTGAGTAGTGATCACGCCTGCAGTCGAAAAAAATTTCAGAGATCCCCTTCCGCTAGTTTTCAGATCATCTATCATTCGGTTCCCCGAAAACAAGAAAGTTTTTCCTCCGCTAGACTCTTCCATCCCCGTGCATCGCTGGTAACGAATAAAAGCATTTTAAAAATTCTAGATTCATCATTTTACATGAAACCTACAGGAGGTTTATTGTTTGGAATTAGACTACTTCATGTTCTATTAAATGGATCAGGTAACTGCTGAGAATAATAATTCTGCAGAGGCTGATTCTGTGGAATCAAAAGATGATCACAGCAATCATCCTGAATTGTTATACAATTTCAAACGGCGAGGCAGTCACAGTGCGGCACCAACCATCGGTAAAAATATATCCTATTCATTGGATTCCCATGCAGATGACGATGATGATGATGATGATGATGACGATGGTGATGACATAATTGGCAATGACGAAGTATTATCACCAACAGTCGCCGCTTTAGTTGATACTCCGTTCACTAGTCGAAGGCGATCAATTGTTAATCGTGATGGCACTGCTTCGGAAGCAGGAGATTCTGTCAGATCTGAACCAGCTGCCCTCAAAAGTTTAGCAAAATCATTTCATTTATTAGCAATAGCAAATGCTAGACAAAGGTATCGTTCTCCTATCTTGATTTTTATGCTTTAACTAATTATATCTTGTTTCAGAAATTTTCTTGTCAGTTCTGGTCGACAAGTAGTGGACGATTCTGTCGATCTTGATAAATGTTTTCCAGATCAAGAGGCATCAGTGATGGTGGTTACATGGAATACAGGTGAAGCTAAAAATTTATATGAACAAAATCCACAAAAACAAACCGGTTTAACAAAAGAACAAATGATCGAAGATATGTCCGATATTATTTTACCAACATGGATGGATTATGTAGCAGATATAATTGTAATTTGTACACAAGAAATGTCTGCATCAAAGAATAGGTAATTACTTAAAATATCGAATTTAATTATAATTATCAAACTATAATATTTAGAGTAGACTGGGAGATTTTATTACAAGAAGTTATTGGTCCATCACACGTTTTATTTCATTCTATTCATTTCGGAACATTGTCTTTATGTATATTTTTAAGACGTGATCTAATATGGTTTTGTTCAGGTAAGTTATATATTAAGCTAAAGCACTGCATCTTAGTTAGAAATTTTCTACAGAATGGGCGCTTGATAGCCGAAAAAGGTTTTGCTTGGCAGATTATTTTTTTGTTCCTAGAATCTCCTTCGGTCGGATTATGACTCAAAGGATGGGCACGTGGCCTATCTGCTCATCCTCTAACTACGATCCTGATCTTAAGATACTTCGTAGTAACTCAATCTGAACTATGCATTTAGAACTTGAAGAGGATGTTTTCAAGTTTCGTACAATTAATGCAGTGAGAACAAAAGCATCAGTCGCTGTAACATTTAATTTATTCGGAACATCATTTATGATTATTAATTCACATTTTGAAGGTAAAAAGACATTTACGTTAAATTTTGATCATTAAAAATTAAATTATATTTTTTAGCTGGTGAAGATCGAGATGGACGAGCCAATCGAAAATTAAATTTTTCAAATACAAAACTAAAATTAAATATACCACATGCATATATCAAACGTAGTCAAAAAAATTCAAATTTAAATCGTCCAGAAATAACATCGTCTACATCATCGTTAAATTCTTTGACAATAGGCGTAGGTAAATATATTTTCAGTTAATTATTTTTTATTCATGCAATGATAGTCTATGTTTTCAGATGTGACAAGATCATCAGACTATGTTTTATGGGCTGGTGACATGAATTTTAGGATTGAAGAGCAACTACAAACAGTCATGGATTTAATAAAAAATAATCAATACACAGAGTTACTATTGAAGGATGAATTCAAAACTGCTCAAAGTAAAGATGGTGCAAATAAGATCTTTTTTAAACTACTCATGACTCAGTAGTCAAATCATCTCATATTTTCTAATTAACTTTAGTTATAATTTCTCACTTTTTCTTATTAAATTTGTAATCTGTTTTAGACGACTGTTATAAAGATTTTTTGGAAGGTGATATTCAATTTGATCCGACATATAAATATGATTTACGGAATACCGACAGTTATGCCAAACATCGCATACCATCTTATACTGTAACATATAAATAAAAGATGTAATTTTGAAATAAAATTTATTTCATATTGTTGTTTTTCAGGATCGTATATTCTATCGATGTAAACAAGACCAACAAATTGAGTGTACACATTATAAATCTATCTCAAAAGTTAAACATTCTGATCATAAACCGGTTGTCGCTCATTTCAAAGTGAAACTGAAGCCAAGTTTTGGAAAGTAAGATACAAAGAGTTTAAACTTTATTTAATTATTAGTAATATTCTGTGTTTTTATAGAAGAAATTCAACGTTCGGAAAGTTTAACCGCGATGTGTATAGACGAGGTAGCACTACTTTAAATTTTTACAACATGAAGATGAATATTATTTTTTTGTTTGATTACTTAGGCTATGAGCAGCGCGAACACCATCATACCCTTGGTATTGGTATTAGAGATCAACATCGGAAAAGTGTGACTATGTCAAAAAGTTCTGTTTGTGTGTTACAATAATTTCATCGTAAATAGTCTCACAGATACGCTCTTAATGATCTAATCACTTCGTGAACGGTGCTCAATGAACCATATGCACAGATCGCCACATATCATATGTGAAATATATACGATAGAGCGTAAAAAAGCATAGTACCATGTAAAGTCTTTGCCAATATGAAAAATATCACTCATTGTTTCTTTCATTAGGGATACGAGAACCAACGATGATTTTTCCGGCTATAATCAGAATCATAAATATTTATGCATGTACATCGACATTTATAATTTGAGTACAAACATGATCTCAATTTTTTTGTTTTTACGAGAAAGATCGCTTTACTCAACTCAGCATTTAACTAGTCATTTTTGATTTTCCTTCTGTGCATGTTCATTTTTTTCCTTTTCTAATCTCATAATAATTTTGTTTTTATCCATATAATGCAAAACAAAAACAAAATTGTACCATTTTTGTGAATTCTTGCCTTTTACTTCAACCAGTTATTTTTAAATATTTTTCTATTCAAAAACTAATCTTTTAAATAGATAAACAAAATATTTAACTTTTTGAACTCAATAAGAATTGATTCATGTACAAATTTATCTTGTTTAGACTATTGTCATTTAATAATGAATATTTAAGACTTTTTTTTTCACTATTACCATTCCTAGAAAACTAAGTCGCACTCTCGATCGACAATATACAAAATAAGCTTCTATTTTCTAGGCGTGATTCTGCATTATGCAAATAAAAACATCGATACATACGCTGCACACTTGTAGACAGTCAAGAAACGCGCGTATAATTGCCATTTAAACTTTTATTTCTAAACAATTGTGATTACATAACATTTAAATTTGTTTTTATAACTTTCCACTAGTTGATTCAAAATGAAGATTTATTCTACAATTACTCAAACCACATTTAGTTTTCTTTACTCATTTGGTTTACGTGAGTCTTTAACAATAACATGCCAATAAATACTAGACTATCACAAATTCGATCTTTTTCATGAGACTACGTACGTTTCTTGTCACGCGAAGTTTGTTTTGTTGTTATGTTAAACAAAATTAATTAATCTTTGATTAATTTGCTCTTTAAAAATTCGGATCATAGTTTTTGATATATTCAAGAGAGCAGGTGAGCGTGAGTGAACCGCTTGTATGAAAATCCAGTTTTGGGATTAAAACACTGATAACTCATTGATTTCTGATCCAAATTCAATAAAATTTTCAGAAAATACTCAGGACCACTTGTAGATTATGTATCACGTGGAAAAGTTGGGTTTGAACCATAGATTTGCCGAAAGTTTTCCAGAAACATTCTCAAAAACCTCAAGAATGAAGAATTGTTCAAACCCAACTTTTCCCACTTGATCCCTCATCTACGACTCGTCTTGAGTATTTCCTGAAAATTTTATTGAATTTGGATCAGAAATCAATGAGTCATGAGTATTTTTTAATTTTGCATGCACATAGGCAAAAAACTGAATTTTCGTAACAGCGGCTCAGCTGAGACTGCATTAATCTGGTGAAGAAAATAAACAATGCCACGATAGTCAGAGAAGTTGATTTTCTATGTAGTATGTATTTTTGACGTTCCCAAGGATGCCTGTTCGGAGAAATGGCGGTCGCCGGAAAACGCCTATAACTACATGATCATAAGAGCTGGAGATGTGTGACATGTGTAGAACTATAGAGTCACATACGAACGATCAGCCTGTGATATTTGAATTTGAATTTCATTGTTTCTGAAAGCAACACCGACCTTGTCTTTCAAAGATTGATGAGGTACACAATCTTCAAGTAGTATATGGCACCCAACTTTTTCATAGAACCATTCTGTCTGGTCTTGGCTACATAATGGTGAAAACCGCAAGTCTCTAGCTCATTTTATTTAAAAATTATTACAAAAATGGTTTTTTCCATTGTATTTTGAAACGGATAGTGGTAGCTATAATTAGCAGTATTCTTTTCATTTCCATTCAACTGTTTACTGACAAATCAAAATGATCTGAAATAACCGTTTTACGAATTTAGACCATGTTTTAAAATATGATTAGTAACAAGATTAAAAACAAAGAAGTGCTGTTATACTTTCAGTGTGTGAAACATAGTACGACTTAGTTATGACAGAGTTGACGCCAGTTTAACACTAGTAATAGAATGGCAATATAAGACGTTGTTAAATTGTAAGTTCGAATTAGTAAATCAGTAGAACAGTCAGAGAGTCATTTTACTCATAATGAACGTCTATGTTGGCTATTATAACATGTCCTTTGAGTTACACATACTGAAATATTTTGTTCCTTGTATGTATTAATACATGTAATAATTAACTGTTGATCTTCTCTTATAGTATCCTTTAACTCATTATTATTATTAAAGCAAAAATTACAATAAATAATAGTAAACAACTTTTGTTCCACAAATGACAATTATAATTTAACAAAATACGACAAATAAGAAAAAGATAAAATAAACTAAACTTAAGTAAAAATGAAAAGCATAAATTTTGACTCAAACTAGCAATAGTGAGAAATTTGTTACAGTAAAAATAACAGCAACGTAACAAAAATTTTTCATTAAGTGTACTGGACTTAGTCATCCTAAATCGCTTTTTCTGCATAGAAAAAAAAAGACGATATTGCTGTTGATTTAAAAGATGAAAAACTAACGGAGGATGTATTTAAAGAAATATTCTATAACAAAATATTTTAATTTTATTGAAATGTAAAAGAAAAAGCTCATTCACATAGTTCCCATTGTTCGTACTCTATTACAGATTACCATTTGCAATATGATTTTTGTGTTTATCTGTACGTTTAAGTTCAATAGCTTTTTGCATTGACCATATGGCCAGTGCTCTCATATAACCACACTGAAAGAAAAAATGTCAAATACATTTTGTTAACACAGTTTTAAACTATATACATCCACACATACCGAACGAAATGTTTTATTTCTCATTAAAGCTTCCGGTGTTTGAAATGATAGACCGGCTACATTATAGCACGTATTATAGATTCCTTCCGATGTTTGAAATGCCTCTTGTGTCAGATTCTAAAGGTAAAAACAATTAAACTTTATAGAAAAGATGTTGAGAAAGATTGAATTATCTGTTTAAAATCAAAAATACTAATAACTTACTTCCATTATCATTGTTGCACTCAAACCATAAGTAACACCAGTCCAAATCTCTTCAGATTGCATACTAGCCGTATCTAATTGACCAGCACTAGTCATTCCATTAACAGCACCCAATTGACCATTTCCAAATTGCATTACATTTGTTTTAAATATTATATCTAATATACTATTGACACGTTCTTTATCAAACTCCTATAGTTTTAGAGAAAATTACTATTGTCGAGTGTAGAATAAACATGACAATATTTACTTCATATTGATGACCACATAACCGAAGATACCAGAATCCTGACAATTGATCACTCATTATACTGTTATAATGGCGCGATTGACTACTATCATAATTGTAATATTTTCCTTCAAAGAAGAAAGAACATCACATAATAATGTTCACTAACAATTATTTAATTCATTTACCATTCCATAATTTGTCATTTAGTGATTTTTTTGCTTTTTCTAGCCACATTTCATACTCTTTCATTGCTTGTGAATCATTCATTATTCTAGCCATTTCCACACAAGCACGAAGTGATGCAACATGTAAACCACCACAATATGCACTAAATCAAATATTTCAATAAAAACTTAAAAGTTGTATTTGTTGTAAGTTTCTTTACCTTGCTCCCGTTGCTTTCCAAGCATCGTAAGTTTGATCAGCAAAACCACCATTATCGACTAGACCATCTCCGTCGGTATCGAACGTTTTTATTTTGTCTGTTACCAATTTCACTGTTGGCCAAACATCTATTAAAAATTGTTTATTTTTTGTGTATACATAATCACGATAGATTTGTAATAAATATTTTATATTTAAATCTTTCCACTCTGATGTATCGTGACTATTGTAAGCATTAATAATTAGCCACGGTTCTTCGTCAGGATCACCCAAATCATGTGGTATACAATGTAGTGATTTAACCAAAGCAGTCCGTCCATGAAATAAATATATTTTTGATTCTAATGTTGCTTTTGGAATAGTGGCCGCTAAAATAAATTAAGAAAAAAACAAATAGATATAATGAAATATAATAGTCACTATCAATTACCAAAATCATATTGGATACTCAGTTCGAGTTCTGGCCAATTCATAATCAATGCAAACGAGGCATAATAATGTACATCGTATGTATTATACATGCGATATTCTTGACCTAACGAACAAAAAGAACAAAAACTATTGAAAATACGTTCAAATACAACCGATTCAGATTTTTTACCTTCCAAATATGCAAATCGTCCCCATTTTCTAATATGATCTGGTACTGTCTCATTATTACTTACATCAAACCATACCGTACCTCCATCTGCAATAAAATAGAGTTCATTAAATAATGCACTTTTATACCAGGATGGTAAATTTCTAAAGTAAAAACACAAATATTATTTTTTAAATTTATTATATAATGGTGTAATGTATTTGCTTACTCATCATCCAATATTGGTTGTTGCCATTGTTTAATTGCCGTTTCCCATTTTGATTTAGATTGTATTGCATAGGAACATAAATGTGCTCCGCATAAGTCTGATTCATTGAATAATTTTGTATACCAACTAGATCAGAAATGAACTTACATATATATCCTATATTAAACAACATCGATAATTAATGATTAATATACCGTTTATAACGTTCTTGTCCACAACCAAATTTGACAACTGGCATATGCCAAGAAAGTACAAATTCTGTTGTTTTAATTTCTAGAGGTTGAACGGTTGTTTTAACGCAGACACAGCTAGCTGTACCCAGTGTACTTTTTTCTAATGAATCATTTTGATTTTCTAAATAAAAGAGAGAAGTTTAACATTTGAGAATTTTGAAGAATAATAATAAAGACACTAAATACCGTCTAATTGTCCATCATTCACTAAAT